CCCCAACCTTGGACCTTCTTTCTGTCTCCTCTGTTTCTCCCCTGCTGTGAGTCCTAATGAAATACATTTCAGGAAGCTTACTGATTGAATCCAGGACAAGTGTATAATTGACAGAAGCAGCTGCTCCCTTTTGGCTCATGACAATCTTCTCATTCTTTCAGTTGGCTTCTTTTCTAGTTCCTTGCTACCTTAGCCTTCTCTCCTGTTCCTCCTTTGCTGGAGGATTTCTCTGAGAATTCCTTATTTTCTTGCTTCTCTGCTTTTTTTTTTTTTTTTTTTTTTTTTTTTTTTTTTTTTTTTGGAGAAGGAACATATTCCTCACATCCCAAGGTATTTTTCAGGAATCATCCTGTTGTATTCCTTGGTCTTTTGACATTTTACGTGGTCTCTTTGTCTGCTAATCAGGGTTTCACTGATCTTTCCTGAAAAAATTCAGAACAGCTATAGCAGCCATTGATTCTCTCCTTTGCTATTGGCACTAGGCTCAGCACTATCATTTGTGGCATGGTATTCACCCACGTTAGAGTTAGACATCTTTACATTAATCAGAATTTCTTTTTCATTCCTCCTGGTTGACATAAACCAGAATTATTTTCAATGATCTTTTCATGTTTATTTTAAAAAAGAAAAAAAAAACATATATTTTCTAAAGATGGTAATGAGAATTTGGGCACAAGAAATTTTTTTGTGAGTTTAAGTCCAAATAGACATGATTGTCTTTTTCAGTGTTTTTATGGGTTGGTAACTATAAGTGCTATAATATCAAGACCTGGAAGTACATTCAAGAAGATTCTAAAAGTGTCAAGGCCATCATTACCTACAGGGATTAGCTTAATGTTTTCTGTCTTGAGAGAACTCTTCTGGAAATGCTGTTTTTACACTCAGCCTCTACTGGCCACCAAGACTTAGGCTTTCCTAGCTGCGACCTTCATGTTTCTCTGCCTCGCTTCTTTCAGCTTCATCACTGGCTTGACTTTAGAGGTTGGGACCCAAGTTTAATCCCAGTTTCTACCGTTTGACAGTGGGTGAATTTCCTTTCTGTGTACATAATTTTATCACTTGTATTATTTATCATTGGAAAACTATTGCCACGTGTAGCAATAAGGTATATTCTAAGGTAGGAAGCAGAGAATGTTTTTTATTTCTGTTTTTCACATTTTTATTATTTTATTAATATATGTGTATTAATGTCCAAGCAACATGTGTGTCTATGGATCACTATGTGTTCATGGTGAACTTGGGAGTCAGAGGAAAGGTTTGAATCCCTGACACTGGGATTACAGTTAGTTGTGAGCTATCACGTGGGTGCTGGATATTGATCCCAGGTCCTCTAGAACAGCAGTCAATGCTCTAACCACTTAGCCATCTCTCCAGCCTATTGTCAATGCTGTGCCTGATGTTGACTATCAAAGCTAAGCCTTCAGGGTGCTAGTAAAGTCCTGAGTGAATGTGCGCTGGTGAGGTGGGCATGGACATGTCAAGGACCCAGGGGAGTGTCAGTCTTCCCAGGGTGAGGCTCAGAGGAAGGGCAGGGCCTTGCTCGGGACCAAGTGCAAAGGATGACAGCGTGTGCAGAAAAGAGCCGCCGTAGTTTTCTCCCCAGGGAAGTTTATGGCCTGAAGATTGCTCCTGCTGACATTACCCAAACTCGCCTCGTGCCCCGTTGCTCAGCTGTGAGCGGCAACACTGCCCCTCTTTGTTACATAATAAATACGATAAGCTTCCGGGGTGCTGTGGCTTATCCACCTGAGAACCCAGACCACCTGACCCCAGCTTTTCTCGGTGTGTCTGTGTATATGTTTGTCATTTCTTCATTCCCTCCTCACCCCAAGTCAGCATTCTGGGAGCCATGCATAGGCCTTTTGTTGCTATGTTACATGGCATTGTGATAAACTTCGTGAAGTCTTGGCATTTCCAACTAAACTTATACCTCTTACAAGCCACTTATATCTCTAAGGATGGAATGGTATGATATCTTTCCTTACCCACCCGACGAACACACTTATAACACATAACAAGTTAATAAGAGGAAAATATCAATTTTTTGTAACCAACGTTTATGTGGCATGAGAACCTGAAAGAATGAAAGCAGAAAGCAACAAAGAAAGCTGCCTGCTTTTATTCTTAGGTTTGATAAAAATGCCAAAAAAAACTAGAAGAGAAAGTCATCTTACCCTTATCTGCTTAGATTCTTCTTGGTGTTTCTGAGTAGTATTTCTTCCTTTAGGGCAGTGCCTGGCCAATTTAGGGCTCATGATTGGCTAAGGGGCAAAGTACAAGACATTCTAGCTTCTAGCTTCTGTACCTCATTCCAAGAGACAAAGTGGAGGTTATAGACAGGAGAGGAGGAAACCAGAGACATCTCTGAGGCCTCCCAGTCTCTAATTCAGACTACTACTCATGTCAAAGGAAAAAAACTTCCAGGTACCTGAGGCTCAACACACTGTAACTCAAATTCAACACCAATTAGCACCCAAGTGCTTGCAGCAGATGCTGGAGATATTACGGGACAAATGTTTCTCTTATAGTGTTAAGGCATAGATAGTTGTATTCAAATATGAATATGGACATAGCTGGTTATAGGTGATCTTTTAATTTTCCCTTCATTGTATCTAGTTCAATATTTTACAAATAGAAAGTTACTAACAAATGATTGTAGCTTATTCCTATAATGTAAAATTTTAATTTTATTTTAAATGTAACTTAAGCTTAGTGTAAGCACATACTTAAATATGACAGTCAAAGACTGTTTAAAATAATCACTTTTTTTAAATCCAATTTTAAAATGCTAATGATGCAGTCTGGCTAATTATACCAGTTCCCCAAAATTTGTAGCAGGTTTTCTGAAAGTACTTAGTGCTATTTGGACCAAAGGTAGATTCAAAACAGTCACATGATGAGCTAATGCATTTGCAATAGACTTCTGAGGGAGGTTATATATTGCTTAAATTGCAAATGAAAAATGCAAAGGAGCAAGGAGTCAGGATCTCCTGAATACCTTGAAATGCTCGGTGGTTCTCCTTGTTTCCTTTTCCTTCATAGTAGATCGTGCAGCCCAGCTAGCAACCTGTCAGTCAGACAATATAAGAAGATCTCTTAAGGCTTAGAATATGATATGATTATGGAATCATATCATATTAAGACTGGAAAAAAGTAACAGAAAAGATAACACAGCTGTTTTACAGCTGCAGCACCTTTCCACTTGGGCGTGGTCTAGTTCTGTCATGACTATGCTTTGGGGTTCAACCACTAGTCACCATACCCGTGTGTTCCCTCTGTCTATGTAGACACAGCTCCCTGTTCCCCTGAAGAATCTGCTGGGTGCTGTAGAGTAATTTCCTTCCCAGTTTCTAAGCAAGGAGCTTATGATTCTCCTCTAAGATTAGCTTTTCCTATACGTTTAGCCCCTCTTCTCTCTCTTGCTCTCTCTCTCTCTCTCTCTCTGTGTGTGTGTGTGTGTGTGTGTGTGTATGGTGGGTGCACGCATGTATGCTTATGTGAAACAGCCCCATGCCACAGTATGAGTGCAGAGGTCAGAGGAAAACTTGGGTGGGAGTCAGATCTTTATTTCTACCACTGTGAGTGTGGGGCTCACCAAGTCCTCAGGCTTGGTGATAATGCCTAATGCCTTCACGAGCTGAGCCACCTCACCAAACAGTAGTATTGGGCATTTTTAAGGGAACAAAATCTTAATATATGGGACTACAAAGAAAATGGTTATACTATATAGTTGAAGACACTTTATTGTTGTATTTTTCTACAACAGAAATGTGTTAGTTAATATGGCAAACAAAATATATTAATCAGTAAATGGTTGAGAAGTGTTCGGTTCCATTCTTGGGTGGGTCTGTTTAATCATGTCTTCAAGTAGGTAACAATCCATTAATTCACAATTAAATGTAAACACTTATGAAACGTACTGCCTACATTTTATGCAGTTGGAGCCCCAAACTGAGATTTACAATCAATAAACAAATTACATTGGTCTCCATCTGTATTTTTAAGTCATCTAGCAAAGGAACGTGTAAGTAGGCATTTTACGAAGTATGATTGGTAACAAGGCCAGACCACACATTTATCACTCAACAAATGAACCATCTTTATAAAGCCATGTTTAATGTTCAGTTTGATTTTTGAATCACGTTTAGTGTAGTCGCTGATATTGAATTAAAATTGTGTAAACGGTAAATAGACGTTAGAGAGCGCTTGTCCTTTCCAGGAAGAGTTAGCAAGGGTTGTACTGAGGGTAAGTGTAGCGTCAACTAACAGCAGGTGGACCAGGCTATTACTTTCACAAGAACGACAGCAGTGATGCTGCTGTGTTAGCATTTTGCCAAGTAAATGAAAAAAAAAAAATGGCATTGAGATTCATAACAAAACAAACAACAATAAAAACAAACAGATCTGAAGGGCAGAGAGCGACTCGCCCATGCCGCTTACCGCCCTCACCCATTTAGAGCTGGCGCCCTCAGGGATCAGCAGGTTCCTACACGCGCTGGGCAAAGTGAGGCGCTGTTCAGGGCCAGGGCGTGCCCACCTGCAAACTGCCGGTTGTCTGGAGCCTGCAAACACCTTGCGAGTTCCGGGAGGCTCCGGAGATGTCTGTTTTATACTGCTCAGCTCAAAGCTTTAGGCAGAACGCTGCCAGCGTCCCGAGGGTTTTCTTGTGTCAGCAACTTCACTTTGCAGAGCTAGCTGGTGGAGGACAGAGGAAACCCCTCCGGCCAAAGGCTCGCCGGTAGCCACCACTGCCCCAGCGCACCTTTTGTTCTGACCACTGACTCGAGTGGCGGCAGCCGTGCCAGGCGTGCAGGGGCACGGCGATCCCTGCTTTCAGAGGCCACCACCCGCCCTGAGCGCCCAGCCCAGAGCCGACGGCCCCAGGCCTGCGCCACGGAGACACGCCCCTCGCCTCCCCGTGGTGTACGGACTCGCCCGGGCTCCCAGGCTCCGCCCACCCCGCTGGGAGCCTGGCCCGCTCTCCTGCCCCTGCACTCAAGACCCAGCGGAGCCTGGCGAAGGGCTGCAGCCTTCATGGGCGGCGAGCGGGATGCAGGCTAGCACGCCTGGGTCCGCGCACACGCGCTGCCCAAAAGACCCCCCGAAGCTGAGCGCGGGCTGGGAGTGCGGCCGGAAGAAGCGGCGCGGCGTCCCTGACAAGGGTCCGGGCTTGCAAGGTAGGGAGTAGGCAGAGGGCCAGGCAAAGTTGATCGGAGCGAGGAGGTGGTTGGCCCGTGCCCCTCTCGCCTCTGGGAACCGCGGAGCGACTTGGACTTGACCCCGCCGCGCCCCAGGCGCTCTGAGCAGCGCTTATCTGCCGCCGTGCGCGGGAGCGCACTTGCAAACTTGGTGGAGGTGCCCTGTGCGTCCTGTTGTGTAACCTCCGCGCCGCCAGCTGGACCGGGAAGTTGCCCGCCCGTCCTTCAGCTTGGTTCAGTCGCAGCCCGGGGCAAATTTCATGGCCCGCGACGAACGCTCGGCCAGAGGCGGCGTGGGCGAGCCCCCGCGCGCTCCGACCCGTGGGGAGCTCTCCCGCGCGGTCCCTTCCCCTCGCCCGCGCCTCCGATGCGCGCTGAGCCTCTCGCCGCTGCCGCCTGCTCGCTGCGGTCTGCCCTTCCGAGTTGCTGCCTGAGTTGGAAAGAAGAGGATGACCGAGGTGCCTTGGCTGACTGTCCCCAACGGGACGGACCCAGCCTTCTTGGCTAGCCTGGGCTCGCCTTGGGGAAACAGCACTGTCGCCGCCACTGCAGCGGTTTCCTCTTCATTCCGATGTGCCCTAACCAAGACCGGCTTCCAGTTTTACTACCTGCCGGCCGTCTACATCTTGGTGTTCATCATCGGCTTCCTGGGCAACAGCGTGGCTATCTGGATGTTCGTTTTCCACATGAAGCCTTGGAGTGGCATCTCCGTGTACATGTTCAACTTGGCTCTGGCTGACTTTTTGTACGTGCTCACCCTGCCAGCCCTCATCTTCTACTACTTCAATAAGACTGACTGGATCTTCGGGGATGCTATGTGCAAGCTGCAGAGGTTCATCTTCCATGTGAACCTCTATGGCAGCATCTTGTTCCTCACCTGCATCAGCGCGCACAGGTACAGCGGCGTGGTGTACCCGCTCAAATCTCTGGGCAGACTCAAGAAGAAGAATGCCATTTATGTCAGCATGCTGGTGTGGCTCATTGTAGTGCTGGCCATCTCCCCCATTCTCTTCTACTCTGGCACTGGGATTCGGAAGAACAAAACGGTCACCTGCTATGACACCACCTCTGATGAGTACCTGAGAAGTTATTTCATCTATAGTATGTGCACAACAGTGGCCATGTTCTGCGTCCCCTTGGTGCTGATCTTGGGCTGTTATGGATTAATTGTTAGAGCTTTGATTTACAAAGACCTGGACAACTCTCCTCTCAGAAGGAAATCCATTTACCTGGTAATAATTGTCCTGACGGTGTTTGCTGTGTCTTACATCCCTTTCCATGTGATGAAAACGATGAATTTGCGGGCACGGCTGGATTTCCAGACCCCAGAAATGTGTCATTTCAACGATAGGGTTTATGCCACTTATCAGGTGACAAGGGGTCTGGCGAGCCTCAACAGTTGTGTGGACCCCATTCTTTATTTCTTGGCTGGAGATACGTTCAGAAGGAGGCTGTCCCGAGCGACCAGGAAAGCTTCCAGGAGGAGTGAGGCCAATTTACAATCCAAGAGTGAAGAAATGACTCTCAATATTTTATCTGAGTTCAAGCAGAACGGAGATACAAGTTTGTGAAGGCACAAGACCCAAGCTCCTCATTTTTGTAACGTGGTAGGATGCTCATAGAACCAGATGCTTTCCTCCTTAAGTTCCTAAGTCATGTTTCGGAATACTCCAAACAGGACAAAAGTAGTGAGTTTAAAGGAGCATCAGTTCGATGCACATGTCCACATTTATCTTTCTTTCCTGCAAGCTCCTTTCTTAGTAACTAGAAGTATGTGTATTAAAACAGGACTACTAGGTAAACACTGCCTCGCCACCCTTTTAAATCCACAAGCTTTTCTAGTCAAAGAAACGTGTGTGCATGTGTAGCAGAACAGTTTTTATATTAAAAATTTCTCCAAGAAAAGTGGCCACCTGGAACTTGAATTTGTGATTTGTTCAGCCTCTGCTGCTGTGAATAACTCTTGGCATAAACAAACTAAAATCTATACTTTCGAAGATTGTTTGGCATAGTATAATGGCGTGCTGGTCAGTGCATTCAGTAATGAGCAAACAGATGCCTGAGGTACATGACTTTCAGTTCCTCATAAGCATAGATGGTGGCTTCTGATGTCTTTGGGGATTTGAACTGAAAAACAAAATCAATGAACTTTTATGTAAGGAAAATGAGCATTTCCAGTTATTTCTGGGAAACTGGTTAGTGAATATTGCTTGTTTAATGTTTGATGGTGGGAGGCTGGGGATTATTGGCCAAATACATTGAAAATATCGAAGTGCATGTGTTTTTCTTACAAATATTATGGACTGTTAGGCTTCCTGTGATAAAAAAAAAAAAAGAAGTTCTCACTTGCACCGCTGCTGTGCGGTGTCTTAGGACTTTGTGTTCCAAGACAACTGCTCACTCACATCTGTGAAAACAATTTGAGAAATTACAGTTAAATCTTAGATTAAAAGCTGGGTGAAGCAGCGGAACTGTTAAACTGAGGGATAGTGGCCAGGACTGTCAGTGTGGCAGAGGGCCGTGGTTGACAGCCACTCACAGCCCATCTGGGAGTGAGGAGTTAAATTCTAGAAGAAGGATGTAAAACTAAAATAATAATGGGAAGGTTTTTTTTTTTTTCTGTTTCTTCAAAGGTCTTGAAAACATTAAATGCAGAATGAAAAGGGAATGTAAGGAAGTCACTTTGGTGTGCCAAAAACTGTAATCTTTTAACATTGTAATCTTGTGATAACTTTTTAAATGAAAAACATTTGTAAAGAGAAAACAAAGAACTTATTTTCAGTACTTGAGGTATGATAAAACTGAAGAGAGGAACACAAAGTATTCATAGTTAGGGAATAGCAGTGTTTTCTACTTTTGTCTGCTAGACAGTAATGGCATATTGTTAAGTATATTGAATTTTTAAATAATTTTCAGTGAATAATGAATTGTTACATTTATAGCCCTTGAAATGGTCAAATTTAATTTAATTAAAATAATGAGGAAATAAAATAGTGACAAATCAATGTGATGTCTAAGGAACTTTAGCTGTGAATGCTAGTCCTTACCCAGCCATCTGCTGAGTTTATAAGTGACAGTAGAAACTACTTTTAAAGTAATTTCTAAGAAAAACACACAGACACACACACACAACTTAGTGCCCTGTTAGATATAATGACTTTTGATGTAATTTCTTAAATACACAAGTGACTGGGGATCCAAGAGATCTTTGGAGGACTTCCATTTGCCCAATCTCTTGTTCCTCAGGCCCATGAAGAAAAGCTGCATTCAGCCCTTTTACTTAGTGGTTCTTCTATACATTCAGTCTTAACATATAGAAAGGTTCAGAAACCGATGGAAGAAGATGTTTACTGTGTCTCTGGCTTTTGAGGTTTTCAGAGTTCTCAAGTCGTAAGACTCATGCAACATTTTTTTCTTTCAGAATCATGTATACAAAATGTCAAATACATCCAAATTATGTTGACACTTAAGAAATGTTCAATGGCTCAAAAGTAATTTTGTTAAACTGACCCAAATGGAAATTTCAGAAACCCATAGCTCAGTATTCCATATGTCTGTATTATTTCCTCATTATTTAATATAGATTTCTCCATTTGAGGCTCAGGATGCCAGCCTGATCTTGGGTATGTGTTAAAAGCACTGTTCCAACTTCCAGAAAACATTCTTTGGGTGTGTGTTTTGGTGAGGGGACCAGAGTTCTCTTTTACTCCTTGTCATGTTCTTCATTCTGCAGATTTACCCCAGATCCCTGTGGATACTCGGCAAGAGTTCAATCACTGAGATAGCCACAGCTCCTAAAGTGTTCTTCCTTAGTGTGCTATATCATTAAATAGACAATGACATGTCAACATAACAAGACTGACTGTGACAACTTCCTCCAAGTCAAAAGAAGTTCCTGAGATAACCTATGCATGCACAGGGCAGGATGAAGCAACACTCTGTTGGCCAAAAGACCCAATTTGTGCCACCTGATATGAGTAAGCATTTCCACAGTAAAGACAGATCTGTTGACATTTGCGGGAAAGACACCTAAAATTGTAAGATTTAGCAAGTCGTTAAATGTCACACTACAGAAGTCTTTCATTCCAAGTTCAAGGGTTGTTTTTTGTTATTTTTTTGTTGTTGTCATTCCTTACAAAGTACTGTCTTTGACTCTTTGAAGGTTGCTTTGAACTTATATTGAAATAAAATGATAAATTAAGGAGAAATGGCACACAAGACAGAATTGAAAATTAAAACCATAATGTGGCCATTGAGAAGACACTTGAAGCCCATTCTTCATGAACAGAAAGGGAATGGCACAACCATTTGTGGATGCCATAGGTGCTGTGGTAAATCTTGAAAAGCAGACAGTGAGAAGCATTTAGAATCTGCTTCTGTGCTTCTTCAGTCTAGTCCTTTGACAAAATGCTCATTTTTCAACCACTGTGCTACGGACAGGCTGAGACCTGTGTATATGTGCTTACTCAGCCAGGACACTAGCCCACCTTGATATGACAAATATCAGTACTGAGCAGCTAGGATTCAAGAATGGGAAGACGTGTTACCAGTAAATATATATATATATATATATATATATATATATATATATATATATATAATGAAGCTTTTCTTTTGTTGGCCGAATGTAATTATTGTAATAGTATTTATTGATGAAGCCCATAGCCTTCAGTTGTACAGATTATAAAAAAATTCTTTGAAGAGACAACATATGGATGTAAATTCTATTTATTGCAATGTATGTTATTCAAATGTTGTCACACTGGCATATTTTATAGGAATAGCTAATTCTAGATAAAATAAGAACTATATTTAAGATGTTTTTTTTCAAATGTTAGTACCTTTGAACTCTAAGACCAGTTTGTATTTGGATCTGAAAAAGATGAAAATCTGTCTGAGAAGTGTTTAATTTTTCCCTAGATTTGGGTTTGCATGCTTTCCTTTTGTTTAGGGTGCATGTTACACAGACATGATTTGGTCTTAAATTACTTACTATAAGATTTATAGCAAGTATAGGATATTTTAGACAGTGTATGTATAGTGTACATTATATGTATGTGTGTGTGTGTGTGTGTGTATATATATATATATATATATATATATATATATATATATATATATATATTAGAAAGTTTGTGCTGTCTTTTCAGAAAGTTTAGAACATTGCCGTAACTGTGGTCACAGCTTCCACTGCCAAAGGCTAAAGGCTTGTCTCCTATTCAAATTTGATGATTTAGAAGTGTAGTGAGTTAGACATTATGGATATATGTGAGAATTTAAAGACAAACTTCAGTGAAACGGGGAGAAAAGCGCAGCTGATAGTTTTCTGCTGGGTCTTGAAGCTTTGTATTTTTTCTTAAGGTAACATAGTACAATCTTAACTTCTTTGAGGTAGGGTTCTTAAGTAACACTACCAGCAAGTAGAGCATTGTTATAAAGTTCAATCTGTTTTGTTCATGAAGCTGGTAACTTCCATGCCAACATTTTCAGTGATAACTATTTCATTTGGCTGCTAAGTTCTGTCACATTTTTTTTAAATGAAGGTGAACTTATGTTAGCAAAATTTGTGCATTTGAGTTATGTTGTTTTAGTGCTTTTACAAGAAAATGTTTATTTTTATAATATCTGTGGTTTTCATGTAGTCATTGAAGCAGATTTCTTTGTGGTTGACAGTGCTATTGAGTGGTACGGAACAGTGTTACTTGGCGTTTTGCGACTCTCAGGTTTATCTCATCAGTGGTAGCTTAACAAACTCTGGATTGATTGTGTATAATCGTCTTTGTATTAAAGAAGTACACATCCTGTAAAAGCACAGTATTGTTTGACTGTAGGGGTGTGCAGTCATGTTTCTGTGCTCATGTATTCGTGTGTGTGTGTGTGTGTGTGTTTGAGTGTGTGAGTGTGTGTGTGTGTGTGTGTGTGTGTGTGTGTAAAAGGCATGGCAGCCAACCTTGTATCTGCTATTTATAATAACAACAAAGCTTCATAACTGTGGTCATCAGAATTGTACTTATCATAGACAATTAAAACTGAGAAAGAGTCAATAAAAACTATGAAACATGGTGATGGTGTTTGTTTTATTGACACTGTTCTTGCTCAAAAGATAATAAAAGTTATATTATGATAACTGAGTGGAAAATGCTGCAGGACACATTGTTTTAATTTGGGTAATTTCTTAAAATGACAACTGGGCTCTAACAATTTATAGTAAAGGAAATCCTGATGCAACATAATACCTACTACTGTTATTATTTGATGTATAATTACAAATGAAGTTATAATATATTCTTGTATTGTGTTGTTTTGCTTTGTTTGAAACATGGTTTCTCTCTGTATCAACCTTGACTGTTTTAGAAATCTCTTTGTAGACCAGGCTGGCCTTGAACTTATAGAGATTTCTCTGTCTCTACCCATCCATGGAAGTAACTATGCTAAAAGTCTTTTTTTAGTGTCTGTTTTTGTTTGTTTGTTTGTTTGTTTTGTGTTTTTGTTTGTTTGTATTTAACCTACATTGTCTTTGTTCGAATGTGTGAGATAACACACCCTATCATATAATAAAGATGTATTTAAACTGTCATTTTTAATAAACAAAATATCTAAGTAGAGAAGGTAAATGTGCAATGGTCCTGTACTGGGTTTTCTGGCATCTGCAGAACTGCCCTGTAACAAATTCGTGAGGAGAGGACATGTGAATGCGAATCTCTGCCAGCCCTTGAGACACAGGTAAGTCCTTAGGAATGTCTTCATTAGACACACTCGTCAGACTGCACTGTTCCTGCTATCGGCTTTGGTAGAGTCTGTGTGTGCACTTGTGTGTGTGTTGGAGTGTGTACTGGAATGTGTTTGTGCTATAGTGTATGTGTGTGTGTGCTAAAGTGTGTTGGCGTATGTGTATGTGTGTGCTATAGTCGTGTAGTAGTGTATGAGTGTGTATGTTTATGGATGCACTGGAGTCTGTATGCTGTAGTATGTATGTGTATAGGTGTGCTAGAGTGTGTATGTGCAATTCATATTTAGGAATAATGCATATATCTATCCTGATATTTTAAGAATTTGTCCTAAAGTTTTAATAATTTGACTTTGTAAATCACCGTAAGTTTGGAATAACAGAACATTTTTCTGGAAATATCAGTGCGTTTTGTTTCTCTTTCTTCTGTTAATGGCTTAGAAAATTTAAAAACTCTTTTCAGGAAATTTAGAGTTATGCCCCCAAACACGGTCAGAGCTTCCATTTCCAAATGTAAAAACTGCCCCTATATGCAGAGTCCATCTGTCATGTTTCGGGATCTGACAGCACAAGCAGTGTGGGTACAGCAGATGTCACTTGAAATCTACGTTAATGCTTTTTCTGTGCTTACTCGTTAACCCTGCAAAGTCACAGTGCTCTGGGCTGGTCCTGGGGTCTGCCCTGAGCAGTCAGTGTGACTGCTGGGACTAACAGGCAATCCAAACCAGCAGCTGTGGATGTGTCAGGCCCCTGAGCTTAGCGGCTGATCAGACCACAGTGACCCAGGAAAAGAGCTGGGGATGGGATGAGGTTATGGAGGCAAGCTTTCCATTCAGAGTAGAAAAAAAACATCCTCACCAGTTTTTCATTGCATGTTGGATAGAAATCATCAGTGTAAAGATGGCAAATCCCCCAGGATGGGCCGAGACAGAGATCTTCGAGGTGATCTAGTACATTTCTGTCATTTTGGTTTACAGGCGAAAGTAAAACTTCCATTCAAAAGCAGAGAGATGGAACAGTGCACATTAGTATAATGGGCTACGAGAGACGAGCTTCAACAAAGGAAACAGACCTGTAACGATCAGCATCAGTAAATGGTTTCCTGTGTATGTGTGTGTGCGCACCGCACATGCTCACATGCTCCAATATACTTACTGTAGATGTTCTTAGTTACTTTACTTCTTTTGTAGACATGATCAAGAATTGTAAATTATTCATTACTCTATTTAGTGAAAGGTAGCATGAATCTACAGAAACAGGATGAGACATTGTCTCTCAAACCCTTTTTATAAATGAAGGCAAAGGTAATTTGTTTAACTTTGCTACATGCAGTCGCTCTTTTGAAACCTTTAATGTCCTGTCCTTCCATTCAGGGTTTCCAAAAATGTGCATTTAAAGCCACCGCACTTGATGTGTCTAAGTGTTGACAACTTTTCCTGCCGTCTCTGGAGGTTTGGATAGTGGCCCTCTGCTTGAATGGAAGAGCAGAAGCTTGCCCTCAGAAAACCCAAGTTCCAGAATCAGTGCTGCTACTGCACTTTGTGATCCATGGTCAGGTTTTGTATACCTTTCCAGTTGTGCGTTTCATAACTACAAGAAGAAGTAATGATCTTATAGAATGTTGGCGGAATAACACAAAAATGTACAAAATATTCCCTACAGTGCACACCTGAACAGCAGGGAGAAGTCTGGGGCCGCTTCTGCTGCTCTTCTGGAATCAATGAAATCACAGTCCGTTTGTTCTTACTTGGCAATCTGCAGGCAAGTGCTGCTTTGCTGTCATTATTTCAGATTTCGGTTCCCTTCATTTACACTGGGGGGCTTTGCGGCTCTCCCCTTGTGAGACCATGTGGACATATAATTCTGTTCTTTTACTCACTTCATTAATGTTCAAAATCATAATAAGGAGTCATCATTTTTTTGTGCTTTGTATTTACACTGTGAGAGATATGTAAGGTAAACTGTATCCAGCTAAAAGCATATTAACAGGAAGCATCTACTGACCTCCCTCACTAGGGCTTACCTCTCAAGTTCATGGTTTATTTTCAGTCACCACAGTCCAGGGTCTGGTCTTTATTTGTGGAGATACAGAAACTTGATCTCAACAGTTCAGCTAGAGTTCAACAACACTGAGGGACTGACTCACACCGAGCAAACTGACAAGAGAATCATTTACCAGCTCGATTGCCAATTCTTATGTACAATGGCCATATCCCAGTAACAATAGCAGACATCTGCCTTTTTGTTCAGGGGGATCTAATTATATATCAGAAAGATGCCTGCAGAGCTTGAAATAAGAACAAAGATTGTGACATTCTTGAAAAGCATGTCTAAAAAGGAAAAGTCAGTTGAAAGAATGACATGTCCCCAGAGACACTGGCCTTGCAAATCAGCATCTCTCTTTTCCTTGGGAATCTTCAGCTGCTTTGCTGTCTTTCAGGAAGAAATTAACAGTGCATGGGATGAAACAATCACATTTATTTATTCATTTATTTAAAAATTAATCATCACCATCATTATTCTTTGAATGCAAAATATGTTTTAGTGATGTCTCTTTCCCAGGAACTCTGGAAGGGCAGTGGTAGCAGGAAAGACCACACAGTGCTTTCCAGGTGGGAGATACACAGTATCTATGTGCAACAGAGAAACGTTATTGCAGACATGATCCCACACTTCAGGATTAATTTATCACAGGAGACAGAGATTCAAAAATTACCCCTGTGCAAATTTTAGCTGCAGTCAAGAAAGTAGCAACAGACTTCCTGGGAGTCTGTGCAGAGAATGAAACATCAGTGGGTTGGGGAGTTAGTGGCCTGTAGCTGCCC